AATTTAATAAAAGAGGTACCTAGGTGGTACATTTTTTTATAGCCATTACAATTTTAAACTTACGTTAAATTATATTATTTTATTAATCGCTTCCAAAATTAGTTTCATTAGGTACATTTTTCTGAGTGTACAGCACAAATTATTGCAATTTTATTGACATCACTTGTATCAAAGAAAATAAAATTGTGTAATGATATATCCTAGCCCAACTAAACTCGAATACATTTTTCCAAATAGATCAAAAATCGTTGACCCAAAAACGGCTCAAACGCATACATATCTGCATGAATAGACTTGACGTATCCTCTTAAATATACGGATGCTGCAAAAATATCATCTGTCAACTTAGCGCTGTTTATATGTTGCACATGCGACGGGACTTGGTTCTACTAGTCTTCGGAGTCGTCTCGTTATTATCCCATCCTCTTTTACTTTTCCACGTCTGTTCTGAGATCGGCTTCGCGTCACATCAAAGCGTCTGAAGAGCCGTTCGCATTCAAGTGTTTCTGTCTTTCATAGGTTTTCGTGTTTTCGTTGTCGTCTAAGCGAAACGCCAAAAAGTAAACACGCGCTTGCTACACGCTGCGGTATGGGTAGAGATGTAAAAAAAACGTTTTTTTTTTTCAGATGTGAAAAAAAACATGAAAAAAACGTTCTTTTTTGTTTTTTTTCAAATCCGCTACAATGGGGTAGTTACATTTTTTCTGACCTATACTTTTTATGGTTTTATTCAAGACGTTTTGTAATATTAAACATTTCTGTGAAATCAGAATTTCAATTGAGTTTACCGTTTTCGAGGTATTTACAAAAAATATAAATTTTTATGACGTCACAAACCTCGCCATGTGACCAACATTCTAAGATTTCTATTGGTTGAAAATTACCCTGTTGTCAAGTTGTCTTGTTAATGATTTCATTCGGTTATGTCAGAAAATACTCGAAGAGGTTATGTACAAATACTGTCACTGTCAGTTGAGTGAAAGATGGTCACCAAATTCATTAAGTACCTATCTTCCTTATTACGAGGAATCATATTACTGTTTGATATTTTAGAGTCCAAGATATATTTAAAAGAATATAAAGAACTAGGCATTATACTAATGAAATGCATTTACGACAAAATATGATTATAATTATAGGTACTTACTTTATTTGTTTAAAAGCTCCAATGTTCAATGTAACCAACCATTCCACAAGATTCCTCTGCTTTGGAGTCCGTTATTAATAAATCACTTATCTAATATCAATTACAAATAACATAACAATAACATTGATTTTCAATAATCTAAATTTAAAAAAAAACATAACCCGAAAAAAAGAAACGTCAAAAAATCAATTCGTCTTCTCAACTAAAATTATAGATCAAGTGGTTTTAAAACTAAAATATTATAACGTGGCGCCATTTATCGTAAGAATCTTAAACTAAACACAGTGGCAACCATAGAAAAAGCTGGCAACGTTGTCAATAGCCTAGTGACGTAAACTCAATTGAAATTCCGATTTCACAGAAATGTTTAAAATTACAAAACGCCTTGAATAAAACCATAAAAAGTATAGGTCAGAAAAAATTTAACTACCCCATTAAGCATATTCTGTCAATAAATAACATCAATCTTAAAAAATGGAGTAATTTTTCAAAATAAAATTTTGAGTAAAATGTACCTATATTAATAATAAAGTGAAATGTAGAATATATTACATTTTTCATATATTATATCACGAGAACTATGAATTTAATCGGTTAAACTAGGCTCAGTAGTTTTTGTTTGGTTTTTCTTGGAAAATGTTGACCGCGTAGCGGTCGAGGGGTTTTATTTTTAATTATTTTGCATGAAACTATTTTCCAAAAAGAAAAATCAAATAAAAAACTTACTGAGCATAGTTTGACAGATTAAATTTATAGGTCGAGTGAAATACGTCTAGATTATTTCTCGAATTAAAGGAAACTATTTGACAATTCATAAAATCTGACGTATGTGTCAAAATTTATAAATATTTTTTTAAAGAAAATTCCATTAATTTAAGGTATGTAATAATTAATAATTGATATTTCGTAAACTAGATAACTTATTTTTTATTGTTTTTAAAAAAATGTTTGTTAAAACTTGTAAATAACACCATAAAATCGTAAACAAAAATCCAATATGGAGGCTAAAATTTAATCGCTGTTAAATAGTTCTAGTGATTTAATCGCTTATTTAAACGAAATTTATTCGAAAATTCAAGGCTTTTGATTGGTTCATATTATTATTATTATTATTAGGGAAATAATCATTACAAATTGTCAAAGGCAAAAATTAATCAAAGAAATTGGAAAAAATAATATTTTTTTTCTAAAGAAATCCAACGTGTACACTAAATGCCAAAAGTAAGCTCACGTATGGTTTCAGGCGTTGGAAAATGGGGTGGGATAAGCCTTTATTGTTTCCCTACACACGTTGCTTTCGTATCGTTTGCTGTGCTGTGCAACAAGCAGCCAGCCTTCGTCAAACGACCTGTCAAATTACTGTCCTCATTATTTCGGATGTGGAAAGGTTTGTTTTCGAAAAGCACTGCAGGATTTCTTATTCTATTTATTCAATTTACTGGACTTATTCTATTTTGTAACTATAGGGCTCTGTTAGTTATTTACTCGATGATTCTATTGTTGGAAAATAAATAGAAACCACTTATTTTTTTCACAAAGTAGGTACACAGTAAAAAAATATTTTTTAATTTAAAAAAATTGACACAATAGTTTTATAAATCATGTGCAGGTAACTGCAAAACTTTATAAACCTACTGGTAACGGTTACAACAGGTTATATAAAATGTTTGTAGGAACAATTATATAACCTAATTATATACCTTGAGTTTACAGTAACCTTATATGGCCATTATAAAACTAGTACTAAACTAAACTAAACTAAATAGCGATTTTATAAAACCTTGTTATACTCTTATATAATTTAACAACTCTTATATAACCTTTATATAATTTATCGTTACCATAAGTACTTTTGGTTGGATTTTTATAAATGTTTAGAGTTTTGTTTTCTTACATTTTAAGACAGGCAGTGCACTTTTTAATTTTTTTTACGTTTTTTTTCGGAAAATGTGTTTAGCTAGCTTTATATATCTCCACTGTGTTACCAATTTGAAATCCAAAATTTAATTCAATAAAAAAAGTTGTTATAAAAATAATTTGAAATAAAATGTACTTAGTTCACAAACTTTTGACTCCAATTTTTTATTTTATTTTTTATTAAAAATTGTTTGCTTTTTTTAAATATTTATGTTAGTTAAGTTACTTTTTAAAAGAAACCATTCCGATTCTTTGTTAAAAAAACAATACCATTAATATTTTCTTTTAGTCACTGTATTAGTGAGTTAAACTTCAATTTATAAACAGGTATTACCAAGTGATAGTAAAATCATTTTAAGGATTTATTAACAAAAACTAAAAAAAGTAACGAAATAGACATTGGTATCACAACGGACAGGGGTACACAAAGGACTTAATCAGATAACGTAAAAAAGAAACTATATAGGGTGGTACGATTTTAGAGTAATGCATAAACAAAATCCCTTGTAGTGGTGCTCACTTGCAGAATAACAACTTAGATTTCTAAATTGTAGACACCCATTTTCTTTGACTATAAGCTGGTGAAGGTCCCTTATAGTACTTTTATATTGCGTGGAATTTTTACTTGGATGTAATCTATATCATGAGTTGTAATTACAAATAATTTTAAATTGGTTAATCATAGACTACTTTTAATAAAAGCGACGGTAAATATCCACTTTGTTGTCGAAAAATTCTATTGCGTTACCCTAAATTCAATTGCGTTACCATAAGGTAACATAGTGGACTCGGTAACGCAGTGGACAAAGTTTGGTAAAACCATATTTAAAAAATAATAATAAGACATTACAGTCATTAATTGCTCTCAATGAGCATTAGTTCCCTAAAATAAACATAAACATGAAAAATAGTATTTTTTTCTTACCTTATTTTTATTATTTTTTGAGTAACTTAGCGGACAAACAATTATTACATTCGCGTTACCCGCACCTGTTTCAACCGATATCTTCTTCCTGATTGAATAAATAAATTCAGCTGGGTAATACGTACGTCCGAACATCATTTGTTGATCACGTGAGTGTCAAAAAAGTTGCCATATATATGTTTTTTTTTTAATATTCTATCGGTAACGCGACGGACGTAACGCAACGGAAAAAATGTCTGGGACATGAGTCAAATTTAAAAAAAGTAGATTAAGATTAATTATTTTATATATAAAATGTTTACTGTATAAACTAAGGATGTTATGGATTGCTATAAAGCAACACTAAGTTCTGGTTATTCAATATTTAAAAAAAAACATGTATGTAAGTTTTATAAAACGCTAATGGGACATGCGAAAATGTGTGTTTCACAAGTTTCAAAATTAAAAAAAAAATTATTCTGAAATAACTAAACAAACATTTTCTGAAAGAGTTTACTAAGGGCTTGTTAGGCTTTCACTTGGTTTTTAAATCAATAAGATCAAATAATTTTTAACAAGGTTTTTGGAATTCAAACTTACGGACAGCGGAAGGCGGGTGTTTTTTGAAAACGACCCTTTTACAAAATAAAATTAACAATCTGATTTTTATAACGGCGTAGATTTGGCAACCGCGTTCGTCGCTATAAGCAGCCGGCTCTCGATTTGAGTGGTTTCAAGAGAGGTGCGGAAGTGTCGGACGCCTGTGAAGAAAACGCCCGCTTTTTCAGCATCGTTAAAATTTATAAATGTTTGTTATTTTTTTGGCCCCGACATCGACGAACAACTCGCTCGTTTCATAACGATCTCTTTTTACACCGAACCCGTAGCAATTAATTATAATAAACAAATACGACGCGTTTTTATCCGTTTTTATTTACCGCCGCCGCTCAAAAACAGACCACCCCCGGTGTTAAGTTTAATGGAGTTTTAATTTAATGATTCTAATTTTTTCCTTTTCTTTTATGCTTTCAGGATTCTGAGGTCTAAGATTTGAGGGGATAATTTACAAATATCGAAAGAGGTTAGTCATTAAAATAGTTTTTTTAAAACATTGGTAAAATTTGAATAAATAAAATTTAATAAAAAATATTTTAATTAAAAAAAATTAAAATTTTGCCTTGACACTATAGATTGTAAAAATAAAAAAAACAATAAATATGAAAATCAACGATAAAATTGTCAAAAACAAAAAATCTAGAATTTAATAAAAAAATAATAAAATAATTTAAAAAATTATATACACTCACAGCCAAAATAATCGATCCACACAAATTTTCGATGAATTTCAATCGCAAATAACTTTTTTATTTGATGTCTGATTTAAACGAATATTAAAGAATATTGTAGATAAATTAATGGACAATCGCTCACATTTTAAAAATTACTAAAAAATAGACGTACGTTTATAATATACAGGTTTAAATAAAAAGATATTTTTTACCATAAGTTTAAGACACTCTGTAGAGTGGCAAAACCGTATATTGTTCTAAATTAAGTTTTAATTATTAAGTCACATCTATTTTTAACAGTTTTGTTTTTGGTTCACCTTGATATATTTAATTTGTGGAAAATATGGATTTTTAAAAAAAAAATTGCAATTTCCAATATTTTTCCTGTATGAAGAACTAAGGTTGCTATGGTCCATCCATAGCCTATGGAGGATGACAGTGACAGTTTTGTTGAATCATCCCATACTTGGACATGTCATATACAGCTTTCAAAAGCTATCAAATTGTTTTTTGTAAATTAATGTGTTAATTTTAAGGTGTCTTCTTACTTTTAATATAAAAATATCTTCGACTGATGTTGCCCTTTGTACTTTACTTTTTGTGACGTTTAAAACACTTGCCACGTAATACTGTGACCGTCCATCCTGGATTAAATTAATGGCTCTGGCAACATAATTCGGAGACATATCCATTTTTTTAAATTTAAAATTTAAACATTAATTTGCAAAAAACAATTTGATAGCTTTTGAAAGCCGTGTTTGACATGTCCAAGTATGGGATGATTCAACAAAACTGTTACTGTCATTCTACATAGCCTATGGATGGACCATAGCAACCTTAGTTCTTCATACAGAAAAATATTAGAAATTGCATTGTTTTTTTTTAATTTATATTTTTCACAAAAATAAATATATCGAGGTGAATCAAAAACAAAACTGTTAAGAATAGATGTGACTTGACAATATACGGTTTTGCCACTCTACAGAGTGTCTTAAACTTATGGTAAAAAACATCTTTTTGTTTAAACCTGTATATTATAAACGTACGTCTATTTTTTTAGTAATTTTAAAAATGTGAGCGAGTGTCCATTAATTTATCTACAATATTCTTTAATATTCGTTTAAATCAGACATCAAATAAAAAAGTTATTTGCGATTGAAATTTATCGAAAATTTGTGTGGATCGATTATTTTGCCTGTGAATGTATTTATTTTTAAATACTATATTCAACAATATTTATTAACAAATAAGAGCGGCTGATAGCCGAATGGGTTATGACAACAGCTTTACAAGCTTGACAAGTGACAGACCTGAGTTCAATCCCCGGTTGGGTCAAAACTTTTTTTAAATTTAAATCTACTAATTTGACTATTTCATTCAGTAGAATTTGACCAATTATAAGTGACTGCTTTTTCGCTATGACAATTAGTCAAATATGACTTATAATTAGTTATTTTTGACTAATTCATTTTAAGAGAGATGGTTTAGTACAAAGACAAAATAAACCCTCCTATACACTCACGAGCCGCCACTGTACTGACATAGTATATATGCACATATAGGCTATCCGTAACGTCACATAATATGACCGACAATATATCTGCGAAACACTAAACTGCACTGGTTCGGGCATTCTGGTCACATTCTGCGAGGCATAATCACGTCATTTGGACCACACGTGTGAGCTTAGACGGCATTTATTTCGGTCGTAAAATTCAGCTGCACAGCAATCTATGATGAGGTCATAGAACAATTGACACCAGTTTACGCATGTATCCGACCGGCCATTCGGCCCTTAGAACATTCTGAAATTAACATCTATTTTACATGGTGCATGGCACGATGACTTCATTTAATCGGATGTGATGTTTTAATTGACCCGGGTTTGACCCCTAATTTTTATCTTTGAGTAACAGATGGTCAAAAATATGTCGTTAAAATGCCATACAAATTACGATGGTTTGAAATACAAATTATAATTAACTTTTTGCCAATGATTAGTTAGTAATTGAACACATTTTTAGACATACAGGGTGTTTCACAGTTGTGGTCCATTAGAAGTTTTTGTGAAACGAAAAAAGATATTGACTTGAAATTTTAAAAGTGTCCATACCTAAAGTGAATAGTTTTCGAGTTATTTTTTTTTAAATTTGACAAATGCGGTTCAATTATTAGCCTAGAAATTTTTTGGTTTGCGGATATGGGGGTGGTATTTATGGCATCTTAAAACATTGTTTAAAAGATTCCTTGTCCATTCTTTAACATTTTTCAACAAATTACCTGAGAAAACCCTTTAAATAAAAATTGACATCTTACTACTTTGTTGAGTTTTTTTCAAAATTAGTATATATATATTGAGATGTCCCCCAAGTGAAAATGATTATTTTTTATTTTTGGTTGTTTCACTGTTAGTCTAGAATGGGGTTTTTGGGAAGCTACCAGGTCTAGTAATAACATAATATAAGTGGTTCTGCACTAATTCAAGAATTTTAAGAAATCATACATTTTGAATATTAAAGCTTCACGGAAGATAGCTTCATGGAGGTTAGGATTTCGTATGGTTTTTTTTAAACATCCCTTTCTATATTTAAATTAAGTTATTGTATCTTTTGACACCTTAATATTTTTAAAAAATACAATTGTATATACATAAAATATTTATAAAAAAAATCTACTTACTGAGATTTTACACTTCATGGTGGATAGGTTTTTTAAATAGCAAATTAATGAACTTAAACTTTTGAATTTTGAAGCACATGCATCTATAATGTCGTAAACAGAGGTTATTGCTTATTTAAAACGATTAAAGCGCCATCCGTTGCATAAAATTTAAAGCAAAAACAGATTCACGGAGGATATAATCAATTTTTGTAACACCTACATAAATGGTTATAAAAATTGTTTTTTTAAATTTTTAATAATATTTTATATTTGATTCGATTGCTTTGGATGTGTTTAATTTACTTAGTGAACTGATATTTTTAGTATGCTTTTACTACCTCAAATATTTGAAAACATATAGGTTGACCTGGAAAGAGTAACAGTCACGGAGGTTAGATTTTAGACTTTTAAAACACTGTAAAAAATAATTAATTGCGGTTAAAAATAAATTTGTGACATTTTTTAACGTTAAAACAAATAAAAATTTTAAAACTCAATGAACTAAACATTTAAAATGTATTGAAAAACGTCACAAACTTCAAAATTATATTTTTTTGCAATCCGTCATCGCTCGACAACGGGGACAATGCATGGCTGATGACGTTGAGGTATCAAACAAAAATACAATTTATTTACTTAAATTGGGCGATTTAAAATTCCAGACATACAGTGTTGCCACGTTTATTCCCAGCAATTTCCTCGAACAGTCTCATATGAAATATGCAAATTATTTGAGCTCTTTGTTAGCGCCGCGCAGAGAAATCAAACGTCCTCCAAAAGCCAATTAATCCTCGCCGAATTGAAACAAGCGACAAAAAACCTTTTTCGCAGCGCTGCAGGATAAAATTAGGGAATTTCCTGCACTTTTATCCGTCATGCATGATACAATTCTTGACGAAAACTACCGCTTTACATTTGAAATTATTTATTCCATTTTCGGGCGCCAATTAGATCTAACGAGCGCTGAAATCGCTTTTTACTGAAGCATTTTTTTTTATTAAATCAGCGCTGTAAAATTTTAAGCTAATGAATATTTTTTTCTTTATTATTATCATAGATTAATTAAGAGTCTGTCTGTATATCGTGTTTAAAATTGTTGTTTAACTATCTGAAACGTCTTAAAACTGCCTAAATGTTCAAAAACTAAATAATTTACCACCTAAGGTACCTTTTATATTAAATTTTCTTATTGGGACAAAAACCTATGATTTGTCAAAGTAATGAGATTATTTTTATTTGCAGAATAAACTTTTTCACTGTTAATAAATTTCTCATTTACTATAATGAAGCAAATGTTGAGCTTTTATAAAAAAAAATTTCATCCAACAAAGTAATTGTCATGGCACTAAGAAATACTTTATGTTTACCTATATTAAATCTTTGTCGAACTTAAAATGTTTTTGTCAAATCTATAGTTGTGTGTGAATTGCGTTTACATAAAGTAATGCGCAGTTGTTATAGTAAAGTTTGTTCATTTTACTATGGCATATTTGTCTTTTTTAAATTATTCAAATTATTTTTATTTCTGTTAGAAATTCGTTGTTAATAGCTTACGTTAAGAACAATAACAAAAATATTTTATTGGTATAAAAAGACTTTTTTAATATTTACAATTGTTTTGCAATGGTAACCAAATTTTTGTTATTTCCCTTAAAAAGAGGGGGAAAGGGCCAGCGCTCTCCTTGGTGAACGTAACTTTATAATCCACAGTTTGTGTTATAATCTTATTGATTTCACTTGTGCGAGTGAAGTGTGGTAAAATCTAGCATGATAAAAATATCAAAAAGATCACTAAGAAAATTTAAATTTTGACGTTTTCTATAGAAGTAATATTTAAGGTCTATTCTATAAACGAAGCAGACTTGTTGTTTAAAAAGTGAGTTCGTATTTTTTTTATTTTGTACATCATATAATATGAGTTAATTTTTTTGTTATAATAAATAATATTTTTAATGCCTTGCAATTATTAAAAAAAAACCCAACAGTAGGTTGAAAATGTGACCATTGTTACAATGAAAATAGTTTATTGAATTAACAATTAATTTGCTGTTAAATTTACATAAATTTTATAAATATTATAAAAAATGTTTTATTATAAACGAAAAGGGATTTGTAAAATTTACAAAATTTC